TCATTGATTTCTAACCTTCGGTCATCAAAAATGTGTCACTTCAAACAATTTTCAAAAATGGGGAAATGGTCAAAAAAGTGCGTTATAAAAAATCGGAAATCGGAAAGCGCATCTGGTGAAGAAATGAGAGAAGATCCTTGTAACGAATTGGAAGAAATATCTGGAGAAGAATCGGAAGATGAGTCGGAGGAATCCGAAGGCATAGAGTACGAATCTGAGGAAGGATCTGATAGTATAGAAGATTCTGAAGAAGATTCTGTTAAAGAATCAGGAGAAGAAGAATCAAATGATGCAGATGCAGATGAGTTGAAAATGGAAATCGATGGTGACTCAAGAATATCTGAAGGTGAATACGATCAAAGTTCTGTAGCGCAATTCAACATGGAAACTGTTGATGAGTCTGATGAAGAATCTGAAGAAAGATCTGAAGGTGAATCCGAGGATGGGTCTGAAGAAGAATTAGATGACGAATTCGAAGATCAATCAAAAGGAGAGTCAGAAGATAGACCTGATGAAGAATCAGAAGAAGAATTTTATGAAGAGGGGAACGAAGGATCGGAGGATGAATCGGAAGCATCAGGAGAAGAATCCGACCATTCTTGTGAACAGAATATTGATGTGTTTACAAAGCGACTTGAAAAGCTAAGTAAAAGTAGATATGTAAGTCTCGATGAAGATGATGAAGAGGAACTTTATGGAGAGCTAAAGGAAACTGAGTCCCACGTGAACGGAAGGAAGTATAACCAAAACAATGATCAATTAAGAAAAGGACTTGCTCGAAAAAATTCCGAAAAAATGATGGAGATAGAGAATGTTAAATATGATGAAAAATGGGACTATACACATAGAAACATGATGTATGAGAAACTCAAGGAAGAAGATGATGCATTCGATTTAAAGGTAAAAACATTCTTACTTTCTCTTAACTATTGAACTTTTTTTGCAGAGTCGTTCTACTATCATGGATCTATTCAAATCACGCCGGGTGTACGATCCTGCTAACTTCAATGCTCGCAAGAACTTTGCTCTGATTCCTCTTTACGATGATTATGGACTACGAAGTTATAATCCAGATCCTCGGGAAGATGCACCGGCAATTCAATCAATTATCAACGCAAACTACTAGAATTCTAACAACAAATGTGATGCTATTCAAAAACTATTTATGATTCTGTAAATAAAATCTTTCTTTATATTTTATGAACTTTATTTCATTGTTATGAAGACCAAGAGGGAAAGATTTCCAGAATCTCATTGTATTTATTATTTTTCTTTGAATAGACCTTTAAGAGGATTGATAATATATATTTTAGGATCGGCTTTATGCCTTTCCAAGAAAATTTCTAAGAAAAGGAAAGAAGAACACATTGGTCATGAATATACGAAAAACGACTCTCCAAGATACTGATAACACGTTCAGCACGTAAAACCACGTACCACACAGATGCAGGAGCGAAATCCCTTCACAAGTTAGTTCTTTTAACGACTCGGGGAAAAACATATTTGAGCTATCCATCATTATGACCATATAGTACGCACGACCTCCGAAACCTAGTACAGAGCCGTCTAAAAACAAGTAATTCCCTTCGTCCTATCTGAAATTTCAGAACAACTCTGAGAGAAGAATCTGAGAAGAAGTTTTAATGAAAAATATTTTCGATACAGAGATCATAAATGA